TTCGTTCGATTTTCGTAAATTTTTGGATATACCTCTACCTTTCTTTTAAATGGAACATTTCATTGTAGCTGCTATTCAGGGTACGTCCGAAAAATTGATCTGAGAATTTAATGCATCGAATATTATTTTTGAATATGAATATGAAATGTTTAACTGAATAAGTAAAGCGCGAATAAAGCCTTACTGATATTAAACCTTGTTCAAAAACTTGTTTTTGATCACAAATTCATTATTTTTATTTTCATTCCAGATATCCTGAATATAAGCTAGCGCTAATTTAATTTGGTAAGTGCCTAGTGTTTTAATTCGTAAATAATCTATACTTAGTCTGGGAAATTGCTGTAGGTTTTGCAGCAGCCTCTTGTAAGCAACATTCTGTTTTGCTGCACTCTTAGTTGCAAATTATTAACATTCTTCAGTTCTTATTTGCAGCATGCGTTATGCTACTTCATCATTACCATCTTGCATATGTATAGGTTCATGATATCTATGTCCTTAACATTGCACTAAAAATTTAGAAGATGTTTGCTAAATGTGTACATTGTTGGATTGGTATTAGGCCCATAAAAACTGATTTGAAAAGCCCCTTTTTCGATTCAACTAATCATCTGGACTTAGTAATAATCCTTAAGCGATTGACCTTTTCCGTAGTAAATTGTCTTTGGTTTCTCGGTAAAAATGGAGGCATTTCGCAATTTAAGTTTAGCCCTTCTAGTCAATACAAGAGGCTACAAGAGTATGATCAAAAATGTTCAGCACATTAAGTAGCGAAGGGTTTTATTTACGGAAATGGAAGTCAAACTGTTCGCAAGTTTTTCCATGTTCCAACTCATCTGATATAATAGTATTTCATTCCAATGACAAAATTACTAGTACAATTCTAGGGCTTTCGTGGTACAACTACAGAGATATTCTGCTGTATAAAATTGTACCTCTCAAATAACCAAATATTACAAAACGACTAATTCTATCAAGAATTACTACAATTTTTTACCCGTTGGGACTTCTCAGTCCGCGCGTTATAATTGCGAAAACTATACTGCAACAATTGTGGTTAGAAAAATTAAATTGGGTTCATCCGTTACTCGAACATAATCGAAATATTTGGTTGAAATTTAATGAAAATTTACAATACATTAATAAACTAAAAGAATTATTTTCTTTCTTGTTAGATAACAGTTCAGAAATTTCGGATTTGGCTGCTCATATTAACATCCGCTTCCATTTTATATCTGTTAATGTTTCTAATTTTAGTGGCTTATGAGAAGCAATATTAAAAGCGTTGATCGCCATCTTAGACGTAGTTAGTGAAAAATTGCTCACTTATAAAGAGATGCATACGTTTTTAGTTGAAATCGAATCAGTACTAAATTCTAGATCACTTTCTCCCTTATCAACCGACGAGATCATCGTTCTAATATCCGCAAAGTGCTTGATTGGCAGATAGATCCCTATTTACGGTTCCGAAAGTAAATTTCAAAGATATTCCGGAAATCGGGCTTTCTATATATCAGAACATACAGATGATGCAGCAGCATAGCGAATTACAAGTTAAAAATAAATGGAAGGAGCAAAATAGATCGCTCAAACAAGGACAGTCATAGACTTTAAATCTGGATCTGGTCCTGGACCCAGAATGTTTACAAAACAGTATGAACAATTTGTCCACTTCCAGTTTCTTCCCCAGCGATAGATGACTATAATTGAAAGTCCTTTCAATTTTTAGATTTACACCCTATTTAATATTTTATGTTTTTATGGTAACATGAATTGTGATTATTTAAATTTTGTAATTTAAAATAAACGTCTTTCCAAAACCCAAACTATCAATCCGTTCCATGAACCTTTGCAATATAGGTACCTTATTATACTATTTAGCTGCTTTTGTGCAATCATTTAATTGTTTTATATTCTAATGAACTTTTGAGATATTTCTTGTCCCCTTATACCTTACCTTCATTCAGTCGTACAGTATTTTATAGTTAGCTTATAATATCGCACCAGTGGCGTAACGAGGGCTAAAGAGCGGAAGAGGCGAAGATTTCTGGGGCTCCCAAACCTTTGTAGGAGCGCTACTTTTGTGATATTTATACTTGATTTCAGGAACATTTTAATAATAAATTTATATAATTTTATATTTTATTTTATCTGAAATTTCAATGTTTCATTGATATTTTACTATAACATCAATTTCAGTATTACGTTACATAAACAACAATATACTGTGTTCACAGATGGACTTGTATACTTGTAAAAATATTTATTTTAAATTAAAAAAAAAAGTAATTTTTCATTATTTTCTCAACGTGAAACGTATTTATTTAACAAGCAGAAGAAATTATGAAGAATAAGTTTTTTTTTTTAATTTAAAATAAATATTTTTACATGTATAGTTAAGTCCATCCTTGAACATTCTGTATAATGCCACATTATAACATCTATAACACGTTTCACAACATCTTTTAGGGGAAAGTACTGTAAAACTGTTTTTGTGAAGTTCGCCACTATGAGATGTGCTATAATAGTCTTGAAGTTGCGGTCATTCGGTGGTTGCATGAATGTTAGGGTTACGTACATTAAAAGTACATCGCATGCCAGCTTAAAGAGCCTAGAATTGCAGCTTATTAACGTATTATTCATAAAAATTATGTTTGTATTGTTAAATATTGTAAGACCTTGTTGGCAATCGTAGAAAAAGAATAGTCTGTAACACATTTGTAAAACTCTTTTTCAACTAGTTAAATTTGCGAAATAGGTAGGTATGTCAGTTTTTGCACTACCATATTTTTTTCATGGATCCAATGAGCCAAAACGTTTTAACATAATAGAAATTAAAATAGAAATCGACGAAGTGAAACTAAAATGAGAGACAAATAACTAAATATCAAAAATTACTAAGATGCAGTAAAAATATTGCTATGACCTCTTCCCTTTAATTTGGAATGTTCACGTTGTTGCCAAAGTGATCCGGCTGCCGGATGGCAGGGCTAGTGCTAGTATATCTAAGAGGGTTGCGACATAGCCTTCTATCTTGGACGCTATGTTTAATCGAAATAGTACTTGGTAAGCCTGATAATTTAAAAAAAATATATAGGGTTTTTTTAAATCACATTTTGCTGACTACTATTTCCTCACTAGCCTCACCCAAACAGCACACATAGTCCAATGGACGTCCACTTTAGATTCATTTGAGGGCCAGAACATCCATATCCATATTCGGACATCCAGTGTACGTCCGTTTATGATGATTAATTTGACAGCTGCATATCGATACCCAGAGGACGTCTTTTTTTGGACTTGTATTGGGCATTCCAAACTGAATGCCTACCAGTGGGCTTTGACGGGTTATGATATTGCAAAATTATGGCAACCCTGTAGACCTGGTGATTTGACAAGGTCAATGAAATAGATAGTTACATAGATTGATTATCCATATTTTTCAAAATAAACATAAGCGTATGCCTTGAAGTAAAAATGTAAGCAATTATTTTTTTTTAAATATCTAAAGGCTAAAAATTGGTTTTAAAACACATTTTTGCTAAACCGATTCAAATTAATAAATATTTGCCAGGCAATATGGCCGCTCGTAAACGACCAGCTTTGAGCAATCTATATAACTATATATGTATCATTGACCCTGTTAATGACAACATGACAACAGGGTTGCCATATCTAAACTGTCATTACCCACTGGTAGCCATTTGAACAGGTCGTTGGAATGCCTAATTGTTTTGACGTCCAGTGGACGTCCATCTTAGGTCATTATTTATTTAGCTTACCAGATAATACCCATCTATATGCACTTCCTTCCTTTTTTAATAGAATTGGTCATTAAAAATTGACAAATTGAATCAATCTATTACATTTTATTATGTCAGCGGAAGTTTGAAATCTTATTCTATTATAACTATATCTATTAAGAATTTTTCAAGTGGCTCCTTGGTCGAGGTCGCCTAGCGCTTGAAAGCATAGAACGACAATGGACGTGTCGTGGGTTCAAACTCTGCTCAGGTCAAGTGATTAAAAAAAAAAAAAAATAATAATAATATAAAATAGTGTGTGGTGAGTTGCGGTTGTTAAAAAAAAGTGGGGATATGGTCTCAATGGAATATAATTCAGGATTGAACGTTTTTTGAATGTCCAGTATTCAACGTCCAAATATAATCCAGAATTAAACGTTCTATGAATGGTCAAAGGTGTGCCATTTGTATACTACTTCACTGGACGTCCATTGAATGTCGGAAGTTCAGAAAAAACTCATTTTTGGACGTTTAGACATCCAAAATTGTATATCGAATGGACGTCCAATGGACCTATTTGTGCTGTCTGGGTCTATGTCGCAATCCCTTAGATATACCGTTTCCTCAGCATACATAAAAAAAAATTATTTCATAATAAATACTGGTGGTGTCGTCCTATAAATAATTGACAACACAAAGTGTTTATATGACTGACACTGACAAAATTAAGTAACAAAAAATTAGCATGCCCGGCAGTGAAAGTGTTGAAAATCTAATCCAAACATCAATCTGCATATTTTAAAATTTGAATCTAGTAAATTACTTTTATTTTATTACATGCAGTGCCATCTAACATCCGACATTTGACATTGTTTTGTAATCTACCCGCTCATCAATAAATCATCAACAGATGGTGTATGCCATAGATAAAAAATATTATGCTCTTAAATTGAAATTATTTTATTGTTCATTATTTTTCCAATATATTTGTTATTTAAAAGGAGAGGAAATAATATAACATATTTAAAACAAAGCATATTCTATTTTTAACTAATATTTTGCAATGATCGGACGCGTCATCTAGAAATTAGTAGTGTAATCTTGAACAAATTGTTTTGTATTAAAATAGAGTCCTACTCTGTTGATCTACTAATTCCTGTCATATTGCCATCTATCAAACAATTCACTAAACATTCAGAGTCGGCGTGATGCTAACGTCGACGCCATTTTGAAAACTGAAGGACATTTAAATCTAACCAACAAATACAAAGGTTTATTGTTTATAGTCGTTTCTCTTTGTTTAAACAATTTTTGCATTTTTCGGTTTCTGAAGCAACGGAAACAAGTAACTGTTTTCATTTTCAGAACGTCAATTTGTGTTAATCACCAGAAAAAAAGATGTTATGTGTTTTAAACCAGAATAAACAACTGTCAGAAGCCACAAAAATTGCAGAATTTTTAACATTTCCAGCTTCAGGTAAGTTTCCTGGCATTAGAATTTGTTCATTATTAATAGTGTAATCGAATTTTAGGTCGACAGAGGTTTTTTGATGTACATTTATTGCCTTAAAGCAATTTGACCCACTTGTTTCCATGGTTGTTGCAGAACTAGGTTATAGGTAAAATTTTGTGAAATATAGTACATTGTCTTACTTCCTTTGCCTAGGATCAAATATACGTAAGTTTTTAAACACATGAGTATATTTTTATAATGATATCAGTCCAGTTTTACTAAAAAATAAGTCGATACCCATGTATTTTTTCATATAATACAGTCAATGGTATATTATTTTTTGAACTTATCTTTGCCTTATAAAATTTGTTTTAGATTTTAACATGGATTTTTCTGAAAGTGACAGAAGAGAAGCAAAGAATTTTGTAGAATTTTACATAGATAAAATTGAAAATCATCGCAACTACTTTAGGTATTATCTTTCCGAAGACGTGATATTAGATTGGTTTGGTCAAACGATCAAAGGCGAAAAAAATGTTGTGGCTTTTCTCAAAAAGACGATAACTTCAGTAAATCATTTATTATCAGACGCTGTACCAGTGAAGAGCATAGGTTTCAAAGATACTCATAAAGTTAAAATTCCAAAGTAAGCAATTAGTGTAATTTAATATCAAAACAGGTTTTATTAACTTTATTTTCAGGGACCAAAAGGCCATTCCTTTTGCACTTTTGAGTCCTCCAAGGACAATGTTACTGAAAACAGAAACCAAAACCCCTAAAAAACAACCTTTACCTTCGACAAGTTTTTATAATAATAATAACAACAACCAGAGAGAGCTCAGGAGCAAGTATCATAGAGAAAAAGGACAGGGTGATGGATTTGATAATACAACAGGTAAATTTAACAAAACTTGTTTTAACTATTTTACTTTATTAGTTGAATTTCAAATTTACACCTGAAATACCTGTTTAAATTTGACCTCTTTCGTATTTTTACTATTTAATGTCAAATATGTTCGGTGACATATCACTTTAGTGTCACAAAATTACAGATTTGACATATGCTTTAAATAAAACTACAGATAGGTATTTCTTGATTTTTGGAAAAAAAATTGCGGATTATAGCCAAAATTCAAAAAAATGGCCTTTCCAAGTTGGAACTAGTTTTTATTGCGGATGTTGAAAACTACCTATTACTTGATAGAAGCGTAGTAATTTCGATTCGCGGATGCTCTTTTGTGCGTTTGTCGAGAGTTTGATTTCATTTATCGCAATTTTATTTGTGTTTTTATATTTTACATAGGTTTTAAGCGTTTTATTGATTATTTATTAAAGACTATTTATGATCATATTGCAGAAAAATATGTATTTTAAATCAATAAATATTCCTAAATTTTATGTTGTGTTTACTGCAACAATCAATAGATAAGACAACTTAGGTTTGTTTGGCAGAAGGCAGAAGTAATGATATTAAGCTGAGAAGCAAGAATGTATATTCTTTGATCTGTGTCAGTTGGCCGGGAAGCGATTTTTTTTGAAAAATTAGGTATGCTTTCATTTCAGGCGACATTCAATTCATTTTTTACGTGCGTTCGGTTACGTAATTTTTTTTAAATATTTTGATATTTCAGTATAACAAATATACAATTTTTTTGTTAGTGATGTTTTCTTGTGCGAATATGGGAAAAATGTTTGGGGTGGTACATTTCATGACGAAAAATATATTTTTTAAGTTGTCTCTCTATAGGTAAACATACTGTATTTTTACAAACAACAAAATATATGGTTTTAGATCACTTCAATTTTTCATTATATTTTTCTCAAAAATGCTGTTTTCCTATTTTTTTTGCGAAAATTTACTATAGAAACTAGTTTTTTTTGAGTGTTGACAAATTTTTGCAAAACTCGTACCTGAACTCGGCGAACAATTCACTCATGTTCCAAAAACTAAAAAAATTGAGGTTAGAAAAAAATGGTTATATTTTGAAAAAATCCGCACTTTTTTGTAAAGAATTACTCTCTACCACATTCAAAATGGTTCTATTTTCTTTCTAAATGGCTTACTTTTTGTGACACTAAAGTGTTATGGACCCATATGTTCTTAGAAATAAAGTCATTCTAGTTATTGGTGTTAACCCTGTAATGACTTATGAATTACTGAGTAATGTTGCCAAACATCAAACTAGTAATGTACCATAATGTATTCTTAAAGTTTAAAACCCATTACCCATTCTTTGAATCAAGTACTAATTAAAAAATAAAAAAAAAAAAATATTAATGAAGCATGTATTTATATGTAAATATCAATTTTTAAATAAAAAAAGATCCCCATTGTTGATGCAAACACACTGATAATGTCCGAAAGCAAAAATGTTTTAAGGATTTTCTAATATAGAATTGTATTTATAAGCGCCCTACTGGGAATAATAATAATAATAGCCTTTACAGAGCAACCCAAAAAAAAGTTAATAAAAATCATTAATAATATAGTAAAGGTGACATGAAAAACAGTGAGAATACAAATTAAATATAAAACAAAAAATATAAACAGAAAAATTTTTTTTAGGCATTGTTATAATTGGTATAAGCAACTGCTTTAATACTTTCCAAACTATCTGTGAAAATATCTGATGAATTGCAATATATAAGTTAAAGTTATTTTTTAAGATCCTGGATAGTGGATTTAATGAGTATTTTTTTTTTTGTTTTTAATTTGGTGTCATCGGCGTCGACTTCTATGGCCATTAGTCTCGTGTTCTGTGTAGGCTTTGTTACTGTTACCCAGCGCCACTTTAGGAACAGCACTGTTAATTAGAACCCAACAGTGAATGGTCGAGTGGGGAATCCTACCAATGCATCAGAATTAATTTTAAATAATTAAATTAAATGAAAAAATCCCGGCCAACGGTGGGATTCGAACCTGAGACCTTCCGATCTCAAAGTCATGACTCTAACCACTGAGCCAACCCACCCCCTTAATGAGTATTTAAATTTATTTCTACCTTTTGAAGTTAATTCGAAATTACATTTATTTTTTTCAGAACCTCTTTCCAAAAACATTAAAAAAATAAATTCATTGGCTTCCTCCAATTGTCGCGCGCTTAAAGATATTTCATCTTCTCTAATGTTTTGCAACAAATGAAGAAGAACTTCATTATTAATATAATTATGCTCTGGTATGGCTCGCCCAATATGTAATAGTAATTGATGTAGTAATTTTATCATATTCCTTTTAGATACTTTAAAAATGTGTAACCTTGGCAGACTTTTTTTAATACGTATAATTATTCCAAAGTACCAAAAAAAGTTTAACATCAATATGAATTGACAGAATCTACTAAAGCAAGATTTCTGTGGGTGCAACAATGGACATATATTGCTTGTGGAGCATCTTGTTTTATTCTAGTCTGTAGACCTCTTATATGACCTGACATAGAACTGGCACCGTCATATGATGGCCATGACATAATGCTTTCGAGATGTTAAAATTATTTAGCTTGTTGAGAATGGCATTATAAAATGAATCTGTAGATGCAGAGGACAAGCTTACACATTTCAGAAACCTTTCTTCAACAAACCCGTGTTCTATTAAAAAACGCAGTGACAGGGATATTTGCTCTTTTTTGATGTATTAATTGTCCTGCGGTGCCTGCATCGGCATGCTTACTATCTGCAGAGTATAGCGCTGTAATGAAGATGTTGCTGCCTATAAATTATTAAGACAATTTAGATTAAAATAAGACATCCAAACTTCTTTGTTATTATTATTTTGGTAATATTATTATGGTGATATACCATCATTTTACACTTAGATGCATTTAGCATTAACCTATTTTGCATGCACCATTCTGATAATCTATCTAGGTCCTGCTGAAGCGCTAAACAGTTGTACATGTCTATTACTAATAGATCTATTTTAAAGTCATCTCCATAAATAAGTCTACAAAATTTAAATGGTGATCGAGATCATTAATAAATAACAAATATATCAACGGTCCAAGGTTTGAACCTTGAGGGACACCTGATTTTGCGAAGTACACTTGTGAAGAATAACCATTATGAAAAACAAATTGCTGCCTTTCCAGAAGATATGATTTACAGAACCTCATCAAGGCCCCATTTTCGCATATAAGCCTCGAATAGGGTTGAAAAGTATGATTTTGAGTGGAATAAAAGGAAATTTATGAGTGGCCCTTGGGGATAATGTATGGAAAATTCGATTTTCCTTAACAGAAATATTTTCCGACCCCAAAATGTACTTATCCGTTCGGGTCATTCAAGTCAATATGTTTTTCGGAGTAGTGATGTACGTTTTCATACATTTGATGGGCTTGGGTGGAAAAATCGGTTAAAATCTCTATTTTTCCTTATAAGATTATGCCCTTACTTCAACCCTTTAGTCTTGTTTTCCAAAGCCTAGTTATATTATTTAATCATTTATAGCACATTCGACTCAAACACTCTTGCTCAATGTTAGAGCAGTTTTAGTTCTGCACTTTTTCCAGGCAGTATTTTTATAATTCGAAATTATATCGAGCAATGCACGCTTTGAGTGCGAACCAGTTCGCTAATGACGAGGTGCATCATTTTATCGATATTCGACTGATACAGTTGACATTTTAGTAGCTACACTTTTATGCAATTATGGGTCGGCTTTTACTGTAGTTTAAATCTTTTTTATAGAAACCTGCATTTTCAAATTTGGTTTTAAACATTCATATGAATTTGTTTATCCTAAAGTTTCTTTCGAACTGTGAAAAGCTTAGAATCTTTACTTAATAAATTTAATTTGCTTTTGTTCACAATATGTTCCCATAGCTTTAACTCATTCTAACATTTTTGTCAGTTTTTATTTTCAATATTTTATGCAGTTCTTCCTCAATATCATTACAAATATCTTCAATACTACTGAATAATAATAATAATAATAAAGACAATGGTAATATATTTTAAAAATTGAAAGTAAAAGCTAACCTCTAAATCGGGCACTGAAAAAATATACAGTCGAAAGCGCTATTAGTGAATACGGCTTGCGTAAAAATATTGACAACAAATAACCTTTAATTTATGTTAAGGAAAATCGAATTTTCCATGTTATCCCCAGGAGCTACTCATAATTTTCTTTCATTCTACTCAAAATCAACCCTCTTCAAGGCTTGTATGTGAAATCGAGACATCTAAACCTGTCACTATCTGACGGTCTATTCGCAGTTTCTCGAGAATATAGAGAGCTTTAAATTTGTGCAACAATAAGGCAGCACTCTACAGACATGTTTAAGAAAAAAAGGTGAGAAATCATCGCATTTAAAAACTACTAGATATTTATTAAAACAAAAAGAAGAACATTTTCGTAGATTTAATACAGAATGGCGCATAAATGTTTTTTTTAACATATTGGAAGGATTGCGAAGAGGGTTTGCAGGGTGAATCATTCTAGTAGGTAAAGTCATTAGTTTGTGTTAATATAAGACATATTTTTCCTTTTTTTTATCTCGTTAATAATTTCATTGTATGTTTATTGACTAAACATTTAAAAATCTGTTTGGTTATGTCATTGTGTAATTCTTCTACAGTTTAATGGCCGCCGCCTATTCAGGTATCTGTAAAATATCCTCCAAACTTAAACAATTTTATTATTTTTTTTTAATTTTAGCCCTAGACACAATCTGTTTAAATTGTATCTCTTGAAAGCTAAAAAGTTAATGAAATGGTAAAAAATGCAAATTTGTAGCATAGTAAAATAACAAATTAGCAAAAAAAAGTGTATACCTAAACTTAAATTATTAACATTGAGGTACTCCCTCTCCATTAATGTAGTCCATATTTTTCATATAATATTCGTTTATTATTAATAATATTTTACAAATCCTTGATTTATTTTTAACAAAAATAATTATTATCCTCAAATTTACTAGGAAAACATGGAGATATTGGTTGGGCTAGCACCCATTCTTTCACAAATTCATCAAAGACAATTGAGCATATCAACTTAACATTATCTCACCAACAAATTTACCAGATGGCGTGACTATTGATAAGTCACATAACTTTTCAAAATATCGCTTTTTAACACGCTTTTATTAGCTTCACCTGTATGTATGTTTGTAACTCTCCTTTGAACTAAAAGCAAGTGGCTTATTACTGTCAGTATATCCCTCTACCTCAAGTTCGTTCGTTGGCCGAGCGGTCTAAGGCGCGGGTCTTCGATCGCCAGACTCACCGATCGTGGGTTGTAATCCCGTCCACGGCTGAAAAAAAAATAATTGTTTTTTTTTCAGCAATTTTTTAATAATTAATCGAACTAAAAAGTAAAAAATAAATATAGTTTAAAAAACCTAAAAAACACGCTTTTATAATACATCGAACTAAAAAGTGAAAAATATATTTAAAAAAAAACTAAAAAACACGCTTTTAGAGCATATCAAACTAAAAAGTTAAAAATAATTTTTGTGAAAAAAGCGTGGGACGCGTTGTCCATATTTCTCGTACATCGAGCGCCCGACGCTTTTTTCGCAATAATACTAGAAGCTTACTTGAAAAATTATTTTTAACTTTTTAGTTTGATATGCTCTAAAAGCGTGTTTTTTTAGTTTTTTTAAACTATATTTATTTTTAGAATAAAAAAATGATTTGGATGAAATTTGTTTTTTATCTTAATTATTATGGCATAATACAAGTATATTTGAAAAATGCCATTTAAAACTAACTGTATCCTTTTTCTGTAATTGTGGTATTCATCAGTAAAATAAATATATTATATTATATTTGAGTACACGGTGCTCTAGGTATTAACGAACATTTAAATATTATAGATATACCTACTTCACCGCTCAAAAAAATCAAAACCTCCGACGTGGAATTCGTAGAAAATCTCGAAACGTTGGAAAGCGAATGCGATTGTACGGAAAGCACCCAAAAATTGAAGTACGTCGTATCTGAAGGCTGCGTCGAGTTCCACAAACCGAGTTTAAAGAAGTACCAATCGGAAACAAAATGGCGGCGACCGTGTAAAATGAGTGTCGCGTATACCGCCGTAGACTCTAACGATTATACGATCTATTTGATTATTTATGAAGGTAACATGAAATGTAGGAGAAATTTGATGAAGGACTTTGAGGCCGAAGAGCCAGGGCATTAAGTTTTTATAATTCTAACGAAAGCATAGATTGGTCTATATTGAAACGATTCGATGTTTCATGATGAAAATAGATGTTTAGACTAATATAACTCTTCTGTGCTTTCTATTTACATATTTAGTGATTCTTTAATTCGATAATTTATGTGAAATTTCATCTTTATAATATAATTATACTATATTTGATAAATCCTTAACCAAGATGTGTACACAATTGAAAAAAAGGTAATTTTTATAAGGCGTACTATTTATCTAGTTGGACTAGACGTAAATGTGAGTTATATTGTTGGTTTTAGTCCTATTATGTGCAATTATTTATAAAACTATAATTAAAAAAGTATATGTATACATTTTTTGTTAACTTTATATTATTTTTATGTGTATTGGTCTAAATGAAGAAAGATAATAAATAGGCCCAGTCACTTTTATTTCTGAACTTGTATTAATCCTATATTTACACCCTTTTGTCTTCTAGTACTTTTGCTCATAAGATATTTTAGCTAGTAATAACAATTGCATCAAATTCTTTCAGTGAATCATTATGTTGGAAAATCTCTAATTCCCTTTACCCCTCCTATCGGTTAATGGCTAAATAAGTCGTGGCAGAAATATAATATACTTTTTCTGACTAGGTATGTTATCAACTAGACCCATTATTAAAAAATACACCCGATAAGTTAATTGCCTTCGATTATCGATGGTGCAAAATTTATTAGTAGCAAAACTGGAGGGATTCAATCAAAAATCAAAGAGATCTATAAAAATGCACATTTCGTGCACTGTTGCGCCTATTAATTTAATGTATGCAAAAAGCTACAATCCCAAATACTAACTCTCTGGAATTCCAAGTTTTTTTTTTTTTTTTTTCATTTTAACCTACATGTACGGTATTTTAGAAGAAATAGTGACTATAAAAATGATAAGGTTTTTACCAACCCGTTGGAACTATATAGGTACTGAAAAATTGATAGTGTTTTAACGAGTTAGAAGATAAATGCAGAAACCTATTACTTGCAAAGAGGCTAGCGGTCTAAAAACATTCCTTGAAGATCCCAACTTTGTGTTTTGGTTGTTAATATTGTCATGAAATTTTTCACATTTAGATTCTTTGTTTAATCTCTTCCAAAGCAGAAATAAGGATAGATGCAACTCCTGAAAGATATAGAAATTTTAAAGAAAGCAATTTTATTATTACAGGAGACTACAGATAAAATACAGAAAACTGTTGAAGATGAACATGCTGCAATTGTCAATAAAGAAGAAAATGAATCCGTCAAATGAATGCTGTCATTGCAAACGATGTTTGTGACATTATAATTTTTCAGGGGTCACTTAGTAGCTCAGAAAACTTTTGACCCATTCTAAAATTTTTCCAGATGTCCTGTTAAATTCATTTATTGGTTTTATGCAATGTTATGAAAATAAAAATTAAAACCGAAGTAGAAATAATATATGAGAGTATTTTAGAAACATAGGTGTTTTACATTTACTTTCATATATGACCTTTGGCATCTTGGATGAAATTTACAGAGAAGTAATTAAATTATCAAAAATAATTATAACTACATCGATGTCTACTGCTTACCTGAGCGTTATTTTTCAACTCATTGTAATGAAAGTTCGAATTCAGAGAGGCATACAAAGTTGCCACGTTTGCCAAAGAAAATATTTCTTAAACGAAATTACCCTGTGGTAATATTAATAATTATATCTTTACTATTACAAGTTTGAATCTGAAAATTCAATATACAGTATACAATTTTATAAAAATTGAGGATTACCATGTAAATTACATTTCTGATTGTAGAATAAGTATGGTATTATGATTCATGCGAGAATCGGCGCGCTCTGATTATTCATTAACCGATAGGAGAGTTAAAGGGAATTAGGAGTTCTCTGAAACAATGATTCACTGAAAGAATGTGATGTGAATTCCTTTACTTCTAGCTAAAAAATATAACTACAAAAGTAGTACAAGACAAAAGAGTTTAATATTTTTATAAGTATAATATATGATTTATACAAGAAAAATAAAAGTAAAAGGGCCTATTTCAATTCAGAATTTACAGAACCAATACCAGGCGTTAAAAACCGAAAATGTACAATTTCAAATTTCACATAAATTATTTCATCTAATGAAAGTATTTTGTTGAATAATTGTGAATCTTATATTATTAGATTAGTATATAGCGCATTTGTTTGTTGATTATATTGAGTGTTTATGATTTTTCGGACGAACATTGCAGATTCTTTTTTGTTTTTTTTTTATAATTAGATTTTGTTGGTTGTACCTAATCAGTGCAAATTGTGAATATATATTATATTTTTTCGAAATTGGTAAATTTTTCGAAATATTCCTTAAAGATGTATATTCTTTTATGATTAATTGTAAATGTTTCCCATTTTAAAAGAAATAAAATATAAGTATTTTTATTTCTTTTAGAATAAACTAGTGTAATTTTTTACCGGTTTTAGATGTAAATTATATACCAGTGATTTTATTGATGAGTATTAATTATTGACTCGAACTTCCGAATAGCCTTTATTTTGACATTAAGTGACATATTTGCAACAGTGATACAAAAGTGACAGTTAAACACGCCTTACAAAAACAAGAGAGTTCCTTAAATTCATAATCTCACAATTCTCGACTGCTTAAAAAGCCGTTTTTAGAAATATAATACATTTCGATGGCTTAAGTGCAAAAGGTCGTAACCCACAAAATTTCAAAAAATCACTTTTCGCGTCATTGAAGTCGTATGTTTTAGCTGCGTCTTGTGTAAAACTATCGTAAGCCACAGTATAAAACGAAATTAATTACACGCGCCAAAACAAAAAGTTGCTCTTTGAAATTACCTCTAAAGTCAATTTGGTTTTCTATTCCCCTGTAAAATTTAATTTTTGGGGTTACGACTTTTTGCACTCAAGCTATCGATTTGTATATACAGGCTGATCCTAACTGCGGATAGAAGTCATTAAGATAAACATTTTCTAATAACTTTTTCCAAAAATCTAAAAAAAAAGACAATAATTTATTCCAAATTGCATCCAATACGTTCCTGTCTAACTTAAATGTGTTCAAAGTTGTCACCCATTCACTTCAACACAACACTCTATTCTTGCAATTAATTCTTCCCGTATGTTTACAGGCGACTTTTAAACTAAACTTTTCATATGACCCCACAAGAAAAAATCGCAAGAGTTTAGCTCTGGTCACCTCGGTGGCCACAAATTGACAGGTGCACAGCACGACTCACAAGAGAAACAAAACAGAAAAATGACTTATCAGCCTACAGACCCAGATTTGTATTAAAAAAATCATATAATTTCCAATGAATGATTGATGTTTTCGGGATTTCTGTGACGACTTTCGAGATTTGTAGGAATTTTGGTGATTTCGAGTGAAAACGTACCGGTAATGATTCACTTTGATGCACAGCCAGGATTTGTTTTTTTTTTAATTCTATGACTTTCTTATTTTGAGTCCTTTGAAAATATTTATTTTATTGACTTCTATTAAACCGAGAGCCAGTTGGTTTGCTCTGGTTTTACGTGAGCGTCAAAATAACATACATTGGTGATACATTTTTAGAGTTAATGCAAACAAAAGCAACCCTAGTTATTGTTAGAGGGAAAGCCCACTCACGCGACATGTCGCGCGCGACATGCCGCATGCGATTTTTTAGGTGCGATTTTTAACAGACGACAAACAGCGACACAGACGTTCAGTATCAAAATAGAGGTGGAAGAAGTAGTAACGGTGTTGTTTTATTCTGTTCGTCGGCGGAAAAAATTGAAACGCCGTAGGTTCTGGGTTCATCCATTATTTATAGACCCTTATGTAAAAGGCGAATTTGATTTATTACATAAGGATTTACGTCAATACGAAGATAAGTTCTTCAAATATTTCAGAATAAGAGTAATGTCATTTGACAAACTGCTAGCGCAGATTTCCGAACAAATATTTTTGTCGCTATTTTATTTCATTTAACTGTTCAATATTTGAGGTCGGTCTTGAATATCGGATATAAATTCATCTATATCAATACAACTGCCGGACATTTTTTCACTGGAACTGTCGAAAAGTTAACAGGAAACTCCAACTCTCAACTGGCGTTTCGCACGCGACTTGACGTTTGTATGAGTGATGCTCCATATGTATGCATGATAACGCTGGCCGCGTGCGGCAGGAAAATCGCGGGTTTGTCATTTCTAATTTTCAGCCGCGTGCGACCACGCGACAGAACCGCGTTAATAGACTTTGAGTCATTTAAAAACATCTAAAGTATTGCCGCGCGCGATGCCTCGCGATCATTCGAGCGCGACGTGTCGCATGAGTGGGCTTTCCCTCTTAAAGAGGAGGTCGTCGGTTTTCATTTGACACCAGTAGCGTCAAAATAATGGGTCCCCAAATTTGACCTTCTGATTTAATTTAATAATAAAACATACAAAAAACTTTCTTTAAATGTTATTATTTTATTTTGAAGTACAAATATTTCGGTTAACAATGAAACATCCAAGTTTTCCCCTTCTGATTCTTTGGCATGAATTATTGTCTTCTCAATATATTCAGTGGCATTTTCGCAGACCTTATATGCAATTTCTCTAATCTGAAGTTTGAAGATTGTTAGCATAAAGGTGGAAATATTTCAAAAACTATCTGGGAAGTGAACCCAGACGTGCAGGATTCTACTTACGAGTTACGATAGCCTAGCTAAAATCACCTCTTTGTCACAGAGATGCCACTACAACTCTTGCGAGCATTGCTTCATTTGTTTCTGTCAATCTTGTTGTTATCTTGCTTGGTTCCTCTTTCTCTTTGCAATTCATAATCCTCATTATTTATCTTGTTCCTTTAACTTATTTCTACAGTCATAAAATGGTCATAAAATTAAAATTGGAGAGATTATATTTTGTTACAGCGAGATGCACTTGAGACGTATCTTTACGTCCATGCAAACAGTTTTAGGTTTTTTATGTTTTTACAGAAATTATAATAAATTAATGAAGTTAAATTCTTGATAACCCTCGTATATTTACTATTAATGTTTATTACTAATAAAACGCTTTTCCAAACTTTTTCTTTTAAATGACGAAAAAGAACCATTTTTGTAATGAAACTTTCAATGTACTAGCCACTAAATGTTGGTAAATAGTGTGTTAAATAATGCCATAAATCATATTTTGATGTTTTTCATTTATAAAATGCGTTTCCCTAGTAACAAAAACAATAGTAGTAAATACGAGGGTTACCAAGAATGTAACCTACTTCATTAATTTATTTAATGTAATTTCTGTAAAAAGAAAAACCTAAAACTGTTGGCATGAACGTAAAGATGATGCAAATATCTTTCAAATGAGGTATCACATGGCCCTACTTTACGTCTCAACTAAAGTACATCAGTATAACAAAATATATATCATAATATCTTTCTAATTTCACCTCGGTTTGTTTCATGTCTATCTTCTTCCAATTAACGTCCTCAGTGTATTTGTCAGGCATATGTTTGGACATATTATTACTTGAGGTTATTTCAGCTTCTAGTGATAATTATATTACTTGTTTGTATCTTGCATTGCATTAAAAAAATGTGTGTTTTTCGTAATCTGCTCATTACAATACAGACAATTACTGTCAGGTGTCTTACCAATTCTGTAAGTATAAGCCCATGTCCCGTGAAAAATTGACTCGGATACTAGTTTGTTTCCCTGAAATTACAGTCTAACCAATTAAGTGATATTTGGAATTTATCTCTTTGTCCAGGCTGCTTTCCCAGTGTTTCTGCTCCACGTATCCTGCCAGATCTATATTGTTCCAGATCTTTTAACGTTCGGATCATTTGTTTGTCTATCGTACAACCTTACTCTTTCATCTACAAGTATATCCAGAGGGATACATCCAGTTACTGTTTACAGTGCTTCTCCTGATACCGTTTTGTATGCAGAGGCTACCCTAATTAACATTTTTGCTGTACTCTTACAGATTTTTGTATATTTTTATTTACTACTATTGCCCATTTTGGTACCGCATACAGAATTGTTAACTGCTACAACCTCTTACACCAATTGCATGTTGGTGTTGCTTTGTCCTCCCATATTGGACAATATTTTCGAGCTGTCACTTGCTAGACGGCCAATTATTCGATTACCAAATCTCTTCCTCAAAAGATTCAAGTTATTTCGCTGTATGACAGTGTTGAAACCACATTATGTTCTGAATAAACATAACCTTCCAATTCATTCCAGAAATAATATCTATTATCATTGTCCTGTATAGAGCCCCATTCACAATAACTGTACCACCAGCTTCATTCTCAAAAATAACACCATACAGTCACTTTTTGTAAAGACCGTCGTTTTTCCAGCACTTATCTTGGATTTTTCTCACTCCACATTTCCCGAAATCGTCCTTAATTTTATACGATTTCGCCGAAATTATCATATATAATTTCCAATGATTATTTATCATTATTGTACTATTTCGGGAGAGATAATAAATTTTCTTGAGGAATATTTAAAAGATATTTTTTTGTAGTTGTTCTTCACTTGTTTTTATTTATCCTATCATGTAGATATCGGCGCGCGAAAAGTATTAATATCGAAGTAATTTCAGTAATGATTTCGGCCATGATTTCAGAAAATCGGGTATGATTTCGGGGGCGATTTCGAATTTTCCGGTAGTAATTTCGGAGATTTCGAGAAATTTGTAAGCGATTTCGGTTAATTTAAGTGATAAAGTACCAGTATTTCGGTTATGGTTCAGTCATCGGTTTACGTTAACACAAATTTATTATTGCCTTTTTTTCTAAGAACCAATTAACAAACTTACAACGTAAAACGTGATCGTTTGGTTTCAATTCATAAGTTAACTGTTATAAGCTTTTAAATTTTATGCAGACTCGGATCTTTTAATGTACAAATATGTACATCTTGTAGTATTTGCCAAGCCACAACAAAGCCTTAACTATTCACAAAGTTTTAACTTGACATCTGTCATTATTATGAAGACTAGAGTTAAAGAGGCGAATCGGCCTTGGTCAAATTTCAAATTTCCGTCCCTATTTTTATGGAGTTCCAAAAAACTACTGTAGTTGGCGGGTGGCAAAATAACGACGTCTATTTTCTATGCAAGTCAATGGGAATTAAAGTGATTTTTGTAAAATTTAGTGAAAATAATAAAAATAAGCTGAAATAAAGAACCTGACTACAAGTAACAATTAGTAACAAAAAACGACAAAGCAGGATTTGCTTCGTTCCGGGTTGCAAAACGGGATATAAATACGAT